TATATATATATATATAATTTGACTCATCTATCTTAAAGTGAATTTTGTTGAACATGGATGTAGATGGTGATTTCACATGGGGCTAAACTTTTGATGCCACAAAGTGACACTCAACTCTCTTTTATTTTATTCCTAAAACTTGAAAGCACATGTTACCATGTGAAGTTGGAGATCTTCATCTACTTGCATACTATATATCAATTATTCATCATATCATATGCTCATCACTTAACTTCAATTCATCCCCTTTTATATATATTTATATATATATATATATATATATATAAAATCTTGATTTTAAATAACAATCATCGTCAAGAAACGAAAAAACCGAACAAGATTATAAGAAGGAGAAATTGAAAGTGTTAGCCACTCACTCTCACTCGAGTTGTATGGTATAAGTAGAGTTGTAAGGTTATGAATGTTGGGAGTGTTTTTCACTCATAAATCATGATCTTTGTCATAACTTGGGATTTAAAACCATTGGGAATGTCTTTTATCCAAACTTTAGGGATTTGCTTTTAAAAAGCTTTSATTTATGTTTTTGTATTGTCTTCAACAATAAGCAACTCCAAATCTCCATCATTTTTCAATATATATATCAAATACAAACCTTCTAATTAATTAGTATAAACCATATAAACTTATCAATTGAAATATTTATCGAAATGATGAGGGTTCATTTCAATATTTATGGAATATTATACTAGTTTATTCTAAGTGTAAAAAAAATGGTATAATAAAAACAGACTGGTCTGACGTGATCTCATATATATATATATATATATATATATATGTGTGTGTGTTTTTGTATGTGTGTTAAAAAGAAGTTGACAAATTGAAATTAGGAAAAGAAACACATTCTCTCCCATGTTAATGTCGGATATTGATTCAATGCTTCCAAATCTCCCAGACTGCCCCATTACCTTCAAGATCTCAACCCCCCTTTTTTTAATTAATTAATTAAAACCAGAAAAACAAATATTTATTATTATTATTATTAATCTTCCCCATGTTATCTACTTCAATTCTACTTGCAAATAAGCTTCACTTCACTCCCATTCACCTTCTCAAATCCAGATCCAAAAATGATCGAAATCTAACCCTAAAAACCTTCAAAAATCACAGCAATGATCATCTCCTCCATACCCCATACGATGATCTTCATCTTCTTCATCTTCTTCTGCTCTTCATCTATGTCTTCAATGGCAGCCGATCTCAACGATCAAGCTTCGATTCTGTTATCGATCAAATCGGACATTATCGATCCTCTGGATCACCTTAAGGATTGGAAGCTCACCSAAGAACGGAACCCGCATTGTAATTGGAGCGGAATTGTCTGTAATTCCGTTGGCGGAATCGAAAAGCTTGATCTTTCRAGGAGGAATCTAAGCGGGAAGGTGTCGGATGAGATTCAGCTTCTTCGGAGTCTGGTTTCCATTGATTTGTGTTGCAATGGGTTCTCTTCTCCGTTGCCGAGATCGCTTTCGAATCTTACTTTGCTTCGAACSATCGATTTGAGTCAGAATTACTTTGTTGATTCGTTTCCGCAGGGTTTAGGAATGGCGGTCGGATTGACTTTGCTCAATGCCTCCAGTAACAATTTCTCCGGCAACATTCCGGTGGATCTCGGGAACAATACGGAGTTAGAGACGTTGGATTTGCGAGGGAATTTCTTCATTGGTTCGATTCCGGTGTCATTCAGGAATTTGAGGAAGCTGAAGTTTCTTGGGCTTTCGGGGAATAATCTAACGGGGTTGATACCGACAGAAATCGGAGAGCTTSCGGCGTTGGAGAGTATTGTTCTTGGATACAATGAGTTCGCAGGTGGGATTCCAGCGGAATTCGGGAACTTGACGAATTTGAAATATCTCGATCTGGCGTACGGGAATCTCGGAGGTTCGATTCCCCCGGAATTGGGGAATTTGAASGCGTTAGAAGCGATGTTCTTGTACAAGAACAATTTCAGAGGAAAGATTCCTTTGGAGATCGGGAAGTTGACTTCCCTGACTCAGTTGGATCTCTCTGATAACTTGTTATCAGGAGAGATCCCGGCTGAGAYATCGGCATTGAAGAGCTTACAGCTATTCAATGTGATGTCCAACAGACTCACGGGTTCGATTCCGTCTGGAATTRCCAACCTGACTCAGTTGGGAATTCTCGAGCTATGGAACAATTCGTTTTCCGGTTCTCTTCCCGACGATCTCGGCTTCAATTCCCCTCTCGAATGGGTCGAYATATCGTCGAATTCCTTCACCGGCCGGATACCCGAAAACTTGTGTCATTACGGTAATCTTACGAAACTAATTCTATTCAACAACGCGTTTTCCGGTCCGATTCCAGTCRGCTTGTCGACATGCAACTCATTGGTACGTGTTCGTATGCAAAACAATTTCCTCTCCGGGACGATTCCGGTTGGATTTGGAAGTCTCGATAAGCTCCAACGGCTGGAATTGGCAAACAACAATCTCACCGGACAAATCCCGAACGACATTTCATTGTCGTCTTCCCTATCGTTCATCGATTTCTCCCGGAACCAACTTCAATCGGCACTTCCGTCCTTAATCTTCTCCATTCCGAATCTTCAAAACTTTCTCGTTTCCGAAAACAAATTGATCGGAAAAATACCGAATCAATTCCAGGACTGCCCTTCTCTTTCGATCCTCGATCTTTCTTCTAACCAGTTCACCGGACCTATTCCAGCGAGTATTGCTTCTTGCCAAAAGTTGGTATACTTGAATCTCCGGAACAACCAATTATCCGGCGAAATTCCRGTGCCGATTTCCATGATGGGAACTCTAGCTGTTCTTGATCTGTCAAACAATTCGTTGACCGGTGGAATCCCGGAAAACTTTGGGGATTCTCCGGCATTGGAGTCACTGAATGTATCCTACAACAGACTTCAAGGTCCAGTGCCGGCAAACGGAATGCTCAGAACAATAAATCCCGGTGATCTCGTCGGAAACGATGGATTATGTGGTAATGTGCTACCTYCATGCACCGGAAACCTAGTTTCCGATTCACGGCACAAGGGTGTGCACATGAAACACGTGATCGCCGGATGGGTGATCGGAATGTCGGTACTTTTAGCCGGGTTACTGGCGGCGTTTGCCGGAAAAGCTCTGTATGGTAAATGGTACACAAACGGAAGCTGTTTCGAAGAAAGATTCGAAATGGGGAAAGGAGAATGGCCATGGCGATTAATGGCGTTTCAGAAACTCAATTTTAACAGCACCGATATTCTGAATTGCGTAAAGGAATCGAACGTCATCGGGTTGGGCGCCACCGGCGTGGTTTACAAAGCAGAGATCCACCGTAATAACACGACGGTGGCCGTGAAAAAGCTGTGGAGTAGCAAAAACGACATCGAATTGGGAAGCAGCGCCGGCGACTTCGTCGGAGAAGTGAACGTTTTGGGGAAACTCCGGCACCGGAATATCGTTAGATTGTTGGGATTTCTTCAYAACGATAAGAATGCGATGATCGTTTACGAGTATATGACGAACGGGAGTCTCGGCGAAGCGTTGCACGGCCAAGGGCGGTTGCTGGTAGATTGGGTGTTGCGGTATAATATCGCGGTCGGAGTTGCTCAAGGGTTGGCATATCTCCACCACGACTGCCACCCGCCGGTGATCCACCGTGAYGTGAAGCCGAACAACATTTTGCTCGACGAAAATCTCGATGCACGGATCGCTGATTTCGGGTTGGCAAAGATGATAGTGAAGAAGAACGAGACGGTGTCGATGGTCGCCGGATCTTATGGTTACATTGCCCCCGGTGAGTTTTTCGATTAAAGTTATATTTGACAAATTAGCYGWTAAGTTAACTATTGATAGATAAACCAACTTTTATAGCTGAAAAACTAGCTATTAGTTAATAATTTAGTCATGTTTGGTAAAAATAGCTGATAAATTATATCACAATGTAAAACGACATAAAATTACATGTTAAAAATTATATTAAAAAATAAAGGGGTATAACCSGAAAAAATGTAAAAAGATCTCGAAAAATTGTTACTTCCTCTGTCCCAAGAAAAATGTTTTTTCCTATTTTACCCTTCATTACGAGATGATGAAAWTTCTTGCTGTGTGATTAAGGGTAAAATTGTCCTTTTTACTAATTAAAAACGTCAAACTGTGTCTTTTTTATTGTGAGCATTTATTTTGGGATAAAGAAATTAAAATGATACTTAATTTTCGACAAGTTCAAAAAATAAGATAATTTGTACCTGAGTTGTACAATTCTACCAAGGGTAATATTGTCTTTTGACGTAGTTCCGTTTTTCTGTTAACCAACGGGTACTTATTTCGATTACAGAATACGGGTACACATTGAAGGTCGATGAGAAGAGCGACATATACAGTTACGGGGTTGTTTTGATGGAACTGATCACCGGAAAACGGCCCGTAGAACCCGAATACGGYGATTCCGTCGACATTGTCGAATGGGTTCGAAGAAAAGCCCGAGAAAACAAACCGCTAACTGAAGTAGTAGATCCAAACGTAGGAAACTGCAAACACGTAGAAGAAGAGATGCTCTTAGTCCTCAGAATAGCCCTAATTTGCACCGCAAGGCTTCCGAAGGATCGACCCTCGATGCGAGACGTTATAAGCATGCTCGAAGAGGCACGACCTCGAAGAAAAAGTAGCAGTAACACGAACAATGGCGGATTGAGTTCCACAACTAACGAAAAAGATCGACCCGTGTTTAGCCCGTCGCCTATAAACGACTTTTTGTAAGAAGAACGTATCCTGTGACGGGTTTCGATCACGGGAACGGCTTCTTCCGACCGCTGACAATGATATCGTTCCCGGTGCATGACAAGCATTCGTGCATCGGGAAGCGGTTTTCTGTTAATTATGTGTAGAGATTATTCACATTTTGTAAGTTTATGAGTCTGTTAATCATGTGTAGAAGGTACATTGATTCGTATTGAAAATAATGKAAAACGGAAACTAGTCACGTTTGGYAAAAACTCGACATCAGATTACGGAAAATATGTTCGATTATTGGGCAAAAAGCGTAATTACAATATCAAAGAAACCAAAAGTACCTCCGAAACRTGCAATTTGTACACCAGGAGCCAACTCGAACTCGTGTTCATAGCTTCCGGATAAAACGGGTTCTTGGGTTTTCCACAGACAGCCGATTTAGAGCAAAAACGGCCTGAAAAACCGAACAAAKCAATCCAGAGACTATAAAGTATATGTACCATAAGATGTCATCGGTGGTTCTTCACGTGGCGTTCTTTTTTGGACTCGGTTTGTTAGAATCGAAATTTCTAATGATCCGAAGCCGTTTTACGGAGCCGAGAAACATCCTGAAATCAAATTACRATACCAGAAAGGATTTAAATAACGAATACTTAAAATGATCACCAATTTGCTGATAAAAAACGCGGAAAATTTGAGGAAACATACTGCCAYGGGACGTCCCCGACAAGCATACAGTCGCCATCTTTGTCTTCATACGTAAGCACGAAATCGGATGTTTCGTCCAGCAGGTTCGAAGGTCCCAGTGTTTCGTTGGTTGACCCTAGAGACATAAACAACATTAATCACGGGAACAAAATCGTTTTTACAGGACRTCAAATATGTCTAAATGTCCTAATAGACTGCTTTATAGGACACTCGTTCGWTCTTACAAGACACTTAATCAAATAATGTCAAATAAAAAGACTAATATGACATTTTATTTCAAAAATGTCCTGAAAAACATGTTATGACACCCAAAAACGTTTTTATCAACTTATTGTAACACATTTACATATAAGCACAAATGTAAAGCATGTTAAGTGAAAAAAGAACTAGAAGAAGACCGACTTACATCTTCGACAAAACATATCTTCCAAGGTCTTTGCCAACATCTCGTACGAACTGTGGGCATTCAGATCAACTTTCCTCCCGATCAAACTTCCGTCCATATTTACCTTCACGGGTAGATAACTTTTGTTGGCGACCCCTTTTTTGGTCCGAGAATAAAGGTCGTTTCCGATACTTTTGTTTCCTTCGGCCGTTGAGCTAGATTGWTCGTCGGGMGACTTGGTTTGGTTAGCCAACCGATGACCTTTTCTTATGGGAGGCCATCCAACCACACTACAATCATACAATTCCAAAAGCCAAATCAATAAACCAAACCAAATCAAATTGTCCGGTATATCCCACCCGGAGGTAGGATTAGGGGACGGCGAGATTTATGCACACCCAAAAAGTAAATAAGTAAACCAAACAAACCAGAATATCCCACTCGAAAGTAKGGCATGACGGAGGGTGAGATACATACGTAGACTTGATCTCTACCCAAAGAGTAAGTCAGTAATCCRAACTAAACCAAAGAAGCTCGGAATATCCCAACCATAGGTAGGCCTGACTTGACCTATACCAGTGGCGGAGCCAGGAAATTAATGGAGTAGGGGCACGTTGGATGGGACTTGGGGGAGGAAGCATATGGCCATATGGGACTAAGGGAAACTATGTAAGACAGGGGTGAAAATAAAAAATTTAAGTCRGTCAACAAAGGTTTTTGGTTTTTGACTGGACGCCTCTCCCCTCGGTGCTTAAAGTCCGGATCCTCCCCTGACCTATACCTAAAAGGTAAAAAGCAAACTAAACAAGCCTAATAAATGTCACCTAGGCTGTTTGGCAATTGCTGAATTGTTTGGTGCAAAATAATTAAAAGGCTCTCATGATATAGTGCAAAATGAAATATAATTGTTTGGTAATTGTATACAATGAAATTAAGGCTCTTAATGGTTAGGGAGATCCAGGATACAAAATCATTAAGAGGGGTTTTAGAACCATTAAGAGGGTCAAACAAGATTCACATTAACATGTTGCCTCTTAATAGAACTATCAAGAGGTAAACAAACAAACCCCAAGTATATCCCACTCGAATGCAGGTTGTAAGACCTAACTGCTTCTGCAGTGCATTAGTGCTGGTATGATTGCACCCAAAAAAACACTGTTAATTACCTAGAAGGAGAAACAGAATCAGAAGCAGATCTTTTGGTGCCAGAAATTGATGAATTAGGGTTCTTGAAAGAAGGGGAAGATGATGCTGATTGAGGGTTAGGTTTTGAAATCAAACATGGCAAATCTTTAGCAGTCAAGATTCTACCCTTTGATTTCAAACCACCAACACTCAATCCAAGCCCTAATTCAAGATTCTCATCATCAACAMCACCTGGATACGGTGAAGAAACCTCAGCCGACATAACAGTATCTTGATTGTTGGTGGTGGTCAAGACTGAACCGGCGGTCGTCGACCCATCAGACGGTGCTCCACCGCCGTCTCCCGGCGGCGGAATACCCACTAACCCAAGACTACCACCGTCCATTTAGGGAAGGAAAGAAAAAGGGGAGGTGGGWTTGGTTTTTGGAAGGAAGAAAAAAAGGGGTGAAATTGGGGGGTGGAGGAGGGTGGTGGTGATGGGCGGTGGGGCCAAGTGTCGGCTTTATKCCCCTCGTATTTCATCATTTGCTTTGTCGCCATTGAAAGACACATWTCTAGGTTGCCCCATGCAATCACGAGTTGTACTTTTGGTATTGAGAATTGTACGTTACTGAATTTAGCCACCGTCAGCCACCGCCGGAGAAGAAAAAAGGGGGTTGTAGATAACCCTATGAATCATCCTCTTTTGGTATTTTCATTTTCAACATGAAAGAATACAACAYGTCACATTCACTACAGATTTTTGCCATTTTCATCTATTTCTGTCAATTTTGCTTTTTTGTTGAAATTCCATTTTTAATAATGTTCAAGAGAATAAAGGGCCGTTTACCTAAATGCTTATTCGGTAAGTGCTTATTGATAGAATTTAATATTATAATTTATTTTGATACTTAAGATTTTAGTACATAAAAAACATATCAAATGCAACAAGTTACTGCGTAAGAGTCGTCATCCTTACTTACCGGGTAAGACTCTATCATTTCCAGTTACCCAGTAAGATTTTTGGCTCTTCTCATATTCATCCGATAAGGAAATCTATCCGATAAGCACTTACCAAGTAAGTATTTAGTAAACGTGATCTAACAACTATCACTAAGTAACACATTCTAATCGCTAAACAAGTGATCTAACAATTATCACTAAGTAACACATTCTGATCGAACATGATATGGACACCAAAGTACCAATAACAAAAAAGTAAAAAAAAAGAAAAAAGGAAACTAAAGGGTCGTTACTAAACACTTACTTGGTAAGTTTTTAACGCATAAATTTTCTCATTGGATGAACATGAGAAGGGCCAAAAATCTAATCGGGTAAGAGCGATGAGAAGGATGACGACTCTTATCCGGTAAACGCTTACCCAGTAAATTGTTGTATTCGATATGTTTTGATATATACTAAAATCTTACGCATCAAAATAAATTATAGTGTTGACTTCTAATGGTAAGTGCTTACCGGGTAAGCATTTGGGTAAACGGTCCATAATAACTCTAAAAACCTTCTGTAAGGACGTGTATACATATTGTGAACATAATCAATAATCAAATTTGAATATCCCGTCAACCATTTCCAGTAAACACGGAACTAAAAACCCACAATATCACGACACGAACCACTATCAAATATACCACATATTTTTTTTACACCTTGTGAACCTAATAATTCACAACACCAAAAAAAAGATCGCTAAAAACACTGTATAAGGATTGGATACACTTTATGAACAATTAATTAATGTTTTTATAGAGCAGATATTTATTTCCTATTTATAAGAGTTATTGATTTTTTATTTTTTATGGGGAATAAATTAATTAAATACATTTATGAGTCGTAATTTTRTTACTGAATTCTCATTTTATATTTATATAATAAATAACATAATTATCTTAAATAAGTGACTTACGTTAAATCTCAAGAATCTCACAAAAGCATAACTCGACTTAAAATGTGTGTWAGTACTTTTTATACCTTAAGTATTAGTGTGATGTAAAAATGATAGAAGCTTTAGGTCACTTTTAAAGTGAGGTAAAAGTATGAAACGAATAAAAGAACAAAACACAAGTTAAGGGATGATTGTTGACAAGTTTTGAAAATAAAAGGGTGGAATAACAAAATTAAAATAAAATATTGCACACGGCGAGAATCGGGTCAAASAGYCCAAACGACAAACGGAAACGATGTGGTCCCGACAAAAAGTCACCATTATTTTATTCTCTTTTTAAAATAAATATTTAAAATCTAACTAACAGAAAATTAAGCTCCCACTTATTTTGAATACCTAGAAGCCTACTTGTGCAATACAATGATTTATATTTTGATTCTAATTTTTTGTTTTATATTTTGAGTTTAATGATGTTATAATACAATTTTATGTGGTTTTGAGAAAAAGAAAATATTTTTTTATTTTTGAATGAAATATAAATTTGAAGATATTATAAAATGTTGAAAAAATAAGCGATATTAGTATCAAATTAACTATCTAAAAATTCTCGTTTTTGTATAATTTCTTCAATTTAATTTTTTATTATAATTTAATTGAAGTTTAAAAACAAATTAATTTATTTTTGATTTAATAAAATATTTTTTTAAGATAATAATTAAGTATACAACTCAATAATTATCCTAATTATGTTTTAGATATTTTATAATTAAAATGAGATGTTTATCCTCTAAGATTATGTTTATCTGCAGTTAGTTGCACGAATTCAAACATGAAGCTTTAATAAGTTGTATTTACGTATAATTTACTTGTAATCTTGAATTTTAAGTAATATGCATCAATAAACAGCACTTCGTGCATAATAAATGATTTTTAAGAATTTTTGTCAAATGYTTTATAATATAGTATAGATTAAGTCTTTGAATTATATTTTTAAATGAAAAACCATTAAGCATTTTTTCATTTTGAATAATTAAATTCCTAAACATTTTTTCAATAAAATAAGTCATCGAACTTCTAAAAATTGGTTACTTACATCATTTTAACACAAAAAAGCTACTTGTAACCGACTAGAAATATTTTAAAGTAAAACTACTTATGATCCTCCAAAGGGAGGGGGGGGGTAATTGATAGCAATGGCCAATGGTATGATAGTTAATATGAAGAATGGACTACGATGGGACAACAGAGACACCACCCCACCCATTCAACCAGTATTGTCGTCGTCACATCTACTAGCCTTGGGGCTGAGGCAAGATAGTAACTACGACGACAAAAGGACTAGCATGGTGATCAATAGGGGGAGGGGCGGGTGTGGGTGTGGCAGCCTGGCAGTTGTGAAGACGATAGTTGTGGTCTGGTGGTATTGGCGGTGGGTGGTGGGGAGAGATTTCATCCAATTCCATCAAACGAACCAAACGCATTGTTAAAATTTTTCAAATTACATTCCAATTSCTTCAAAGTTAAACGCCTTTAATAGATTCCAGTTCCACAAAATTCCATTCTTCCAACCAAACGCCCCCTTAGAAGTTGGCAATCAAACACCACATGCGACACCTTTTAACCCTACATCAAGTGGATCGAGTGTCGAAGAAGGAACGAAACGAATACAAGAGCGATCGTCCAAAATTGATCCATACTTGAAACTAATATACAAAATGCTTGAACCAAAGACTCCTAGGTYTCAAGGATGTACGTATACGCTATTYGAAAGCAAGGTCTGAGTACGATTTTGAGGTCAAACGACACTGTATATGTGGTTTGAACATTTTCTCAAACTACAAATCGCATCGTATATACCCTCAACACAAAAAACCGCACCACAAAATATGGTACAGATGCGGTACGGTTTATATCTAACGCACTTTACGACTATAACTCAAAACCACAAACCCCCTATATAGTGCGGTTCGGTAAAAATGCAAACAGCAAAGCAAACCGCGAAAATTCTAAACTGTGCATTGTGGTGCGGTTCAAAGCAGGCAATCGAAAATGAACAAACATTCGGAGGTATGAACAAGAAGATGCATTCTCTTATATAGATTGAATGAATGATAAAGAAGAATCATAAGATGATGTATATCGCTTGCACGATATAAATAACCGAACAACAATTCTCTAACACGCATCAAAACATGCTAAATAAGATTAGATTAACGCAAACATCCATTTAGAAAACCAAACCAAAATCACTTATCGCGAAAAAAATAACACCGACCCTCCGAGAACTGAGATTAGATGTTACGAATGCCGTTGCCTCTGGCGTAAGAACTGCCACCGTAACGCCCTCTTGATGCATCACTCCGCCCTCTTCCACCACTGCCTCTTCCTCCTCCTGCYCAATCAACCAACACTATGTCAACATTTTCATCGAAATACAAAACACAATCTTTTTTAAACCCCTAGGAGAAATTTCAAATGAGAACCAGAAATATTTTGAGAATCTGAGAACCAACTATTTCATATATTATTCAGAATRAATAACCCTCAATAATCATGTATTTGTTTTTCAAGAATATCATTATGAATAATGTTGATCATGAATACCTATTGCGACATTCATTATGAATAAARCATGAATAGATGGTTCCCAGGTTCATTATCATGCTTTTTGATTTCACCCATCTACCCGTCATTGAATAAATAAATTTGATTATATCATCAACACTAATTCTTGAAACCACKATGGTTTGAGAAAATTTAACCGAAATGAAATCAAAAAGATTAGAATGAGGCACATACTTCCCCCACGAGAACCACCGCTGCTGTTTGCTCTCCTTTCTTCAATGTAGACTTGACGTCCGGCTAACTGTATCGGAGACGCCTAAAAAACAATATCGAATAAAAGCATTATAAATACTAGCACTTATTCTTTTGTCCCGAAATAAATGTCCACAACGAAAAAATCAAAAAGAATTTGAAAAGTAATTATTACGGTTTTTAATCAACTAAATGACAATTTTACCYTTAATGATAGATATAGTAATGAATCTACCCATCTCATAATTAAGGATATAATTGGAATGTAGACACTTATTTTAGAACAAAATAAAATAGAAATATGAATATTTAGTTTGGAACAGAGAGAGTACAATAATGTAATGCAAGAAATCGATCTTACCTAAATGAGCTATATATGTTCTACATTCATTTACCTATTTCTATCTCCATGACTGAAACTTTAACAAATTCATGCATCTGAAAGTGATTGAAGGTAAGTAAAAGTTCGTGAAGGTGATCCAGAGTGAACATTAAGGTTGTTGAAGGTAGATGAAGGTCCATGTTTTCTGTCCGCTATCAATTGAAGGTAGTTCAAGGTCCACGTTTCTTATTAGCTRTTGGATCAAAAAATCAACTCATCAAAGGCTCACAAGTGTCCTCACCATCATCACCAGAACTCTTATTCACACACGATCCCAARTTGGGATAGAGGAAAAGTCTGCRTACATCTTAGGGGCTATTTGGTTGGTTTTCTATTARGTTTTGTATGGATACAATTGTCTATGTGGATTAATCTATYTGTATAGATTGGGAAGRTTTTTGTTTGGAGGTTTTTTTCGTAGATGGAAGGAGTGTGTTTTTTTAATTGGGAGGGGCGAGTTCGGAAAAATCTTGGCTTTCTACATAAAGCTCCCCCCTAGAAAGTTCACTTAATAAKCCACTTTCTATATCATTAAACCATTACCAAACAGTCATAATTAGCTGACTTAAKTAGTTTTGAGTCTCATTAAGCTAATTAAGCTGCTAACAAACAGACCATTACTCTCCCCATAGTCTACTCTGTGTGGGATTTACTCAGTTCATTTGGTTTGGTCTATCAACCAAAAAGGTACGCGAGCTTTATTTCCTTCGTGGGTCATCCACATYATTTTAAGGTGCAAGTAATGCAAACATTTTACATAAGAAATCATCAATAGCATACCACATGCGGCAAAAAGTTCCTCCGTGTTTCTCGGTAGTCGAAAATTGTTTGCTAACTGAACAAGAACCCTTGATTAGGTTTGACCCAAGACTGACTAGGACACATGTGTAACAACTAACAACCCGTCCCACATGGATAGAAAAATATATATAATGAAGTTATGGACTGCCAATAACTCCCACCATGGTTTTAAGTTGATTTGGAGATTACTAGGCAGCCTCCTGCTTCGGTCTATGGACATTATACATGCCTAACAGATAAACAACTAAAATAATATGATTTSGACATCTTCTACCTTTTAYAATCTCTTCTTCCTCTTGGAAGGAGATGTACTTGATATTCAATAAGCAATAYGATTTACAATCTTCTACCTTTCCATGGTTTGTATTTGATTTGTCCTCTCTCTATATATTTGCATATATAGAAAAATATCTCTATATAGAGAGAGGGAAAGGAAAGAACTTTTGCAAACCCAACAATTAGTACAAACCAACTAATTGAGATATTTATAGAAATGATGAGTTTTTTTATTATGCTTTGGATATTTATGAAAGATTACCAGAGTCCATTTATTATGATCAACGCTTTATATTAGGAAACAATCAAGATATTCACTGAATCAGATATTCATTAGACTAGATGAATGGTTGAGATTGGTTTGTATGGTTGGGTTTGTAAATGAAACCACCTCTATATAGACATACACACACACACGCGCGAAACTTGAGAACGAAGAAGGGAAATTAAGCACAAACCTCAATTGCCTTCTGAACACCCTCTACATCCTCAAACTCAACAAAGGCAAAGCAAACACCAACATCCTGTAGATAAATTAAAAAGTCATGTTCTAAACCCAAGAATAATTTGGAGGCGACCAAAAACAAAGACACCCACCTTGCGATTCTTCAAGAACACACCATCCTGCTTGATTTTACCAAAATTCTTGAACTCYTGGAAAATTTCAAGACTGGTAACAGTAGTTGGCAAGTTCCTCACATAAACAGACTTTGAATCACCTGAAAAATACAAAAATATTAAACAAATATATTAATTTAAAGATGACATCATGCACGTACACATGAAAATATTTCATAATCTCATCATATCCTCTTCATGGAGATGAATATATAATCATTTTTGCTCACGGATGCGACACACAAAAAGAAATACTCCCACCATCCCCAAATAGATGTCCACACCGAAAAAGACACAGTTGTAGAAATATGTAATTTTTACACATTTTAATTAACTAAATGACAATTTTACCCTTAATAATAGAGAGAGTAATGAATTTCTCCATCTCATAATTAAGGGTAGAATAGGGAAGTACACACTTTTGAAAAGGGACAACTTATTTTGAAACAAACTAAAATAGATAGGTGGACACTTATTTTGGGGGCAGAGAGAGTAAAATTGTTCATTACATACATGAAAATATTTCATAATGTTCATTACATCCTCTTCATGGAGATGCATATATAATCATTCTGCTCAGAGATGCAACACACAAAAAGAAATACTCCCTCCATCATAAACACTGAAAAAGGCAATTTCAGAAATATGTAATCACTACACATTTTAATTAACTAAATGACAATTTTACCCATATTAAAAGAGGGAGTAATGAGTTTCTCCATCTCATAATCAAAGGTAGAATAAAAAAGTAGGCAAAATGGACACTTATTTGGGAGCAAACWAAAATAGAAATGTAGACACTTATTTAGGGGCATTGGAAGTAATAGAAAAAGTACTTCGGTTCACCTTCTTCACTAGCAAAAGCTTCCGGTGCCACCTGAGCAGTAGATTCAGGCACATAAGTAGGCGGCAGCTGAGCAACTGGTTCAGGGGTATGATGCCATTCCGGAGCAGGTGTGACACTCTTACTAAGAGGTGGCTGAGCAGGAACCGATGGCGAAGATTTCCCTTTAGCTCGCAACTTTTGTAATTCAACATCCAAGAGAGAAGAATAATATATTAGCACCAAATGAAGATCACATTAAGCAATCTACAACCTTATAAGCAACTACGAAAAATGCAACTCTGGCAAGATATGACAAGTTACATAATAATCCTCCGTCCCAAAATAAACGTCCACAATGTAAAAAGGCAGACGGTATTAGAAAGTGTAATTATTCACATTGTAGTTAACTAAATGACAATTTTAGTAATAAATTTCTTCACCTTCTAATCAAGGGTAGAAGCAGAAAGTAGGCACGTACTTTTGAAAGTGGATACTTATTTAGCGACAAACTAAAATAGAAATGTGGACATTTATTTTAAGAAGTGAGTGTATCCAGATGCAATTATCTTCTTCTAACTGCCGACAGCATCCAAGAAGCAACAACTTTATACAAATCTATACAGTAAATGAAAATTTGGTATACTAACATTTGACCCACTTAAGGTGCATTCAGTACGTGGACAGGACTGGACRGACGAGAATAGTGTAGGTGGGTGAAAGATATTTGAAAGGTTTTAGGTTTTTAATTTGACATGGATAGTTTAGTAATTTACCAATCTTGCCTCATCTCCCTTATTCTTGTTCCACCTATTTTGGTGGGACAAAAAGACTGCATTTTAGTCCCACTCAAGACGTGTCATGTCCAGTCTGATGTCGTGCCAAATGTGGGACAAGTTTTTGTACCGTCTTGTCCCGTCAACTATGTACCAAACGCACACTTAAGAGCTATGCTATGAAGAAATCCCACAATAAGTCAATRTTTAACAAATAAAAAATGGGCATAATCATATAAATACGGAACAGAAATATAATACATACAATAGAAGCATATGTGAACTTCACAGGCTCGGTAACAGGCTCTTCCACAGCAGAAACTGGTTCTTGAACGTATTCTACTGCATTTTGTTGCAGAGGCTCTTGAACATCGACTGTATTCCGATGGATTGGTTCTTGTACGTATTCCACCGTATTCTGAACCAGAGATGCAGGTTCTTCTACCGGTGGTTCTTCCTCATGGGCTTCGCTATCATATTCTTCCTGCTGCAGATGCTGATTTTCTTGGGAATTGTAGTAATCGTCTTCATCATTTCCTTCTAAGTGTATCGAATTAAGATTTTCTTGGGCTTCAACCTCCAATGCATCTTCGGAAACTGCAAATAGGTTTCTAACATCAGTCCGCAATGAATTACTCAAAATGTGCATTAATGATTTGGAATAAGTTTACTASAAACAATGCATTAATATGAACTACCCATTTTCCAAACCAAATGGACCCAGTAAATCCCACTCGAAAGTGGGGTCTGAAGTTGATATGTATGCARACTTGACCTCTACCTCAAAGAGTRGAGTGACTGTTTCCATGAAGACCCCRGCTTGTGCAAGAGTGTGAGCAAATAGGTAGTAGAAATAAAGATGAACGACCCATTTTCACATAAACCAAATAATTAAAAAAAAGTTTATAGAACTTTTATYCATCTTAAAACAAAACATATCTAACGAGAAGAATTCAATGCCTAGAAAACGGGAATTCCATTGATAGATTTTCTTACAGGTCATACCCACATGTTTAAGTTGCTACATACATTAGTTCTACTTGTATTACATGTTTATCTTATTACATTGTCTGCTTGTACACCATTGAATAGTGCACACACAATTGAATTGTTATTGTACCTAGTATATTTCCGACTACCTATTATATTACCTATCTTATTGTCTACTTGCACACACCTTGTGTCGAGCACAATCCACGGGTCTTCTTTTGGAAGGGTGTCCTAGTCTATTATTATGACTAATTCCGGCAAATTGCRACTRTAAGACATCAACTTGATAAAGTCAATGGCCACAATTGTTGTGRACGMGTGGAATCGAACCCAAGGCAAATGGGATATTCCACCACATCCCCATGGCCCTCAACCACTAGACAACAACCTTTTGTGGATACAATCCACGGGTCTTCACAAACACAACCTCTCAATCCTAGTGATTGAGGTTAGACCTGTGTGCATCTTAGCCCTCCTAGACCCTACTTTCAAGTGGGATATATTGGGTTCTTTTGGTTTGGTTTTAAATCCATTGATAGACTTACAAGCTACAACATAATAAAAGGCTAGAACCAGAAGGCATCTCTTATGAAGACTAATAAGAAAGTCATTCAGCATATTGCTTTAAGGGCATGTTYGTTAGCAGCTTAACGAACTTGATGAGACTTGCAACTTATTCAACTAGTTATACATGACTGCTTGGTAATGGCTTAATGATATAGAAAGTGGCTTATTCAGTAAGCTTTTATGGGTGGAGCTTTATGCAGAAAGCCAAGTTTTTTTTCTAAATCTTCCCCTCCCAACTAAAAACACGCYCCTTCTATTTATTAAAAAACCCTCCAAAACAAAAACGTTTACAATCCATATAGACAGATTAATCCACACACACAACTTTATCCATACATGACTTAATGGAAAACCAACCAACATCCCCCAAGGCACAAGTTTGACAAACAACATAAAAAGGAGTCCCAGTATAAGTATCATAGTTGCTCCATATTTTCTTCAGTCACAAGAGAATCCAAAACTAGCCCARAGGTGGGTCTGGGGGTAAGATGTATGCAGATCTCATGAATGTGTACATAATACTTTCAAAGCTAAGTAGGATGCATTTGCAATGCTAAATCAAGAAACAATACCGAGTAACTCAGAAGGAGTTGAACTAATTGGTTGAGAATCGACTTTGCTCTCAAGGGCCCCAGGTGGTGGATGATGATGTATAACCTCCTCGCTTACAAAGTGAAAGATATCATTCATGACAAAGTAACCCTTCTCCTGGGGAGCAAGGAAAAATGTCTGAACAAACTTCCGCCATCCAGTAAAGAACTTGGACTTGACAGAACCAGATACCACCACAACAATGCCTTGACTCCATGATTCAAGAGAATTTATAGTCTTGATCTCAATCCCACTAAAATGTAATGATTGAATAAGTGTATGAATTTGCTGCAACAAAATAATAATTATTCCAAATATTAGTATTTTGAACCAAACCAAACGAACCGGTAAATCCCACACAGAGGTAGGGTCTAGAGAAGGGGAGATAGAGGGCCCAAACATCAGAATTTTGATGCTCACAAACAGCCAGCACCGAGAAAATTAAAAAGAAACAATTCCAAAGACTACACATTTCTGCAGTTCCCACACAGTGAAAACCAATGAAATGTGTATAACGGGTCCCTTTGCATATCAAAGCAGCTTCATAACACCACAACATGCAATATGCAAGTTATATATATATATATATATATATATATATATATGAGTCGTTTCCTTTACAAACCACCCAATTCAAACAAACTATACAAGCCATAATCAATGCTTATACTAGGAAACAATAGAGATATTTATGGACAATTAACATGATTTATTGATAATGATTAGATATATATGGAAGATGATAAGGTTCATTCATTATGATCATGGCTTTAGATTAGGAAACAAAATGAAATCAGATATTTTGTAGACTGGATGGACGGCTAAGATTAGTTTGTTAGAATTGGATGGTTTGTAAATGAAACKCCCCCTATATATAAAGAGAGAGATATAGATATATATTTTTTTTTTTTATATCATCGTTTCTGAAACATTTTTAATCTTTTAAGCTGTTATTTCTCTAAAAAAACACAAAATGTTACTCCTTCCGTCCCATGCCCATGTTTCTGTTTAAGTTTGTCCTAGAATAAGTGTCCACTTTCAAAAATAGATTGTTACAATTTGTATGTGTATCTGTTACAGTAAAAATGGATGCTCTCATCACAAATTGAACTGTAGGAAAACTGGATGAAAGAGGAAGATTGGAAAGGGTTCAAGAAAACAACATGAAACAAAACAGAGGAATGGAGGGCATTCATAAACCAAGTGCCCAAATTATGAACTAAAGTTGATGTAAAAATAAATACAAAAAAGAAACATCCTCTCTCAACTCAAAAGGTTTTAAATGACCTGAGGTTTGGCGTGGCGGCAAGTCAAGCCCAAAACCTTACGAGTTACAGCGTTTTCAAGGTGTGCCCTAAGGTGGCATACATACACACACACTTGTGTGTGTTGATTAGTAGTTTGAATAATACGTAGAACAATTTAAATCCATAAAAAGTAATAAAACTAAAAAAGAAAGAACCATTATATTAAATATATAGAACTTACARAAAAATGATTCAATAGTGCAAAATTGGGATTAAATCTCTTAAATATCTACTCACTACTTTATTCAATTTTCAAATAATTCGTGTTTGGCTCTTTCTGTAAGGGAATGAGAGTTTTAGTTTTCAAATAATTAGTATTTACCTATTTTCAAATAATTAGTATTTACCTATTTAGGGTTTTAGTTTTTAAGTTTCCTTTTTTATGCTTATTTAAGTCTTAGGTCACGTACATAATTATCATTTATCCCTTAAGGCCTCAAGCTATATATTAAAAATAACCCCACACCTTACAAAACAACACATCGTAACGTGCCATAACGTGTTATGATGCAAGCCAAGCCATAGAGTGGAGACATAGGAGTTAACTTGGCAGCGAACCCAAACCTTGACGCCTTAACACGCCATAACGAGTTATTTAAAACCATCAAACACAACCATCACCTAAATCAACTTGATCAAAGATTCCTCTGCAAATTATCATATATCTTTGAATACATATGAATCTAACAAGCAAACAGGAGATCTAGAAACCCATCATCCTCKCTCTAACAATCTAAGCCACAACAAATAGCCCAATAAACAAAAAGCACATCGAAGAACCGATCGAATTCATAACGATTTGTAACTAGTACCCAACATCAAAACACCAAAATAAGAAAGTCACTACTACCCAGAACAAAATAATCGCATAAAAAGATTSAATTCCACACAAGTTCTAAATATTAGATCATATTTCACTCAATTTCCAAACAAAATAACGATAAGCTCAAATGGAAACTTACGAATATAGCCGAGGCAGTCTCAGTGGATTCGCCATCAACTCGAACCATGGTACTGGAATCGGCGTAAAATTGATGAACAAATTCAGGTTGTTGTTGAAGCACCTGATAATATTGCTGAACAAAGTACGAACCCACCTAATCAAATCAACAACAAATAATTTTCATCGATGTCAAACCTTCAAAAAAAAAAATCAGAAAAACACGAACAAATACCAAATAGATTATGATGTATGCATCACTTTGGTATTCATAAATCAGGATGAAAAATAACAATAATACCTGAGATGCAGTAACCGAAGAAGAGTAAGAATTCGCCATTACTACCGAAGAAATTAATCGAGTTTTATTAAACCCCTAAAACCCACAAGGAACAGTGTTTAGGGTTTCAGAGCGAACGCATAGAATAGAGTGTTTAGGCTTTCAGAGTGTGAAGTGAAGTGGRAAGGAAGGAGTTAGGGAGGGAGATTTGCGATGGTGGCCGTGAGTTGCAGAGTTTTAAGAGAGGGAAGAGAAGATGAGATCTGTGTTGAGAAAGTAGTATTTAGGAATTCAATCGTGACCGTTGGATTGTAGAAGGAGTCATTGGTATGGACGGATAGGATTGMTTTAAGATCATGATGGTGGTGGTGATTCCGTTGCTTTTTTTATATTAACATTGCAAAAAGGTCCCTGAAGTTTTCTGTAGACGATAATTTGGGCCCTTAAGTTTTCAAATTTAAATTTTTAGTCCATGAAGTTTTCTGTAGATGATGGTTGTTATTATTTGGCTAGTTTTTCACTATTCATTCATGATGTGATGATGCATTTGGTATCCGGACAAGACAGAATAAAAGAACAAAACAAGAAATAATAGGACAATTATTCAACATTTGATAAGACATGACGTAACACGAATGATAAAATAACTAATTTACTCGTAATAAGTTGTTTATATATTTTCTATATTTKGATTAATTTATGTAATTTGTTAAATTATAATAAAATAAATTGTTTTCATAACAAAATATAGAAAACRTATACAAATAATATTTTAATGACGGTAAAATAAAAGTTTAATATGATAAAATATAATTAAAATTAAAATTTAAAGAATATAAAGAGGAGATATATTTGATGTTTTATAAGAAAATCAGATCTCGTTTTTTGGTAAATATAGACTTACTTCACCTTGTTTCATGAGTTGAGAGTGAAATATATATATTCCACACAAACATGAAACCAGGTCCCTGTTGAGTGTACCAAACGCACTCGTTCGATATTCGTTTGAGTTCTATTGGAGACTAAAAAACGAGGATTTGAGAATTTGGGTAAATTCCTCTTACTTCCTTAGATTCTTCAAAAAAAAAACTTTTTTCCAAGTGGGTTTAGGGTTTAACGTTTGGCAAAATTGATATCTTACAGGAAATTTATGRTGAGAGGAGTAAAAAAAGATTTCCACAATTAGATCAATCCTAATTGAAGAGAACCACTAGATCATTTCTCTTCTAAAACACAAGTTATAGGTTGTTTGGAATTAAAAGTGATTAATAATCAAAATCTCTTCTTACATTTCTCATCTTTTAACTCTTATTCACAAAATAAGTGTCAATGATCATTCACTTATTGTTTTGGTCAGTTTCACTCTCAATATTGTCTTTTTTTAAGGTGTCTGAAGACGACATGAAWTGAAAGCAAATTCAGGTGTAAATCATTCAGTAACAAAATCGACGTTACATATTCAAATAACATGATACCACCTATTAATTATATAGCCTAATTATCTGCTAAACAATCTATTACTCCCTAAAATTTAACTKACCTGAACGAAATCAGACTCGTACCCACAACTGCTTCCGATTAATCAGCCGTGGACTTAAATCCCGTCTTTTGGACGAATCACTACCGTCGTCTCTACATCTAGACCATACCAATCACCCGTGCAATGAAACAAGTCGGAGTAGCTCTGTATTTTACAGACAAAAYGGATAACACCAAACCACGACTCAATAATAGGTGCCGTAGTAAGACTGAGGAGCGACGGCAGTTGGTTGTTGAGCAGGTGTCAATGTTGCTGCTGCTGCTGCTGCCGCCGCCACTGCAGGCTGTGCGTAAACTTGCTGTGGTGGGGCAGCCTGCTGAAATTATAAAAAYGTATATATAATTCTGAGAAAGTAAACAACCCAAAATCCACACAACTTTCGACAAGCGACCCGTTATTTTTAACATCAAAATGTCAGAAACCAAAGGTTTTTTGGCTCAATGGGAACCAATAGATCCAACTTTCATGGGGGTCAGGTTCAAGATGCGCCAGAATGTGAGTTTTGCCGTATATAAAATAGACAGACTTACAAAGTACTCCCTCCATCCAATGAAACTTGTACATGTCCCATGAAATTTGCAAAATTCTTTTCTTTTTYCTAGAAAGTTCTAAAGCTACAGTTATGCCCTCGTTTTTGCTTGCACTTGAACCATATATAATGTTCTGATAATTAATACTCCSTCCGTCCCAAAATAAGTGTCCACGACGAAAAAGGCACACAGGGTAAGATTGTAATTTAACCAACTAAATTACAATTTCCCCTTAATAATAGAGAGAGAAACTGTCTCTATCTCATAACTAAAAGATGAATGGAAAAATAGACACTTAGGGGCCATTTATCCAAACACCTACCGGTAAGATTCAACACTATAATTTACTTTACAGGGTAAGATTGTAGTTCATCAAAATAAAACAGTATTGCATGCAACAATTTACCCGGTAAGCCCTTACCAGTAAGACTCTCCATCCTTATCATTGCTCTTACCGGGTATGATTCTCAGCCCTTGCCATGTTCATCCGGTAAGGTAAATGACCCGGTAAGCGTTTAGYATACAGCCCCATACTTTTAAAAGTTGGCACTTATTTTAAGACAAAACTAAAATAGAAATATGGACACTTGTTTGGACAGAGTTAGTACGGGTTTATAAGGACCAGTTATATATATATGTATATATATATATATACGTATATGTATGTGTATATATATATACGTATATGTATGTGTATATATATATACGTATATGTATGTATATATATATATGTATATGTAAGAATACCTGGGCTGGGTACGAAGCAGGATAGGCAGCATAAGCAGCAGCAGCCGCAGCTTGTGGAACAGATGTTGGCACTTGTGGTTGGRCATAGCTGCTTCCATAAGCATTATACGTGCCATAAGCAGCCTAAAAAATCATAAATCCCAATCATCAGTGATATCAAAATAAATTTTCTTTACGAACCGAGCGAGCCATTCAAGCATACACTTTTTTGAGCCAAGCMTGTTCATATATTCATAAATTATACAATCAAAATATAAAATTACCAAGCCCGARCCAATAAACAAGTTAACCGATCCCTAGTTTGAGCCCATAAACGAGTTTATAAAGCTTGAAMTTTAGTTATAAACKTATAATGTATAACTCAAATTTGTTAAACGAGCATCRAGCCYGAGCTTGAACAATGAAAAAATATTCGAGCTCAGCACTATTTTATAATAGTTATTCGAGCTCGAGTCAATCTCAAACCTGCTACTCTACTCAACTCGAGGCCTTGTTTGTAGCTGCTTAATGAGCTTAATGGGACTCATAGCCTATTCGATCAGCAATACATAACTATTTGGTAGTGGCTTATTCAGTAAGCTTTTAAGGGGGAGCTAAAAGCTAAGTATTATGGAAACCTGCYCCTCCCAATAAAAAAATACGCTCCTTTCATCTATGAAAAAACTCTTCCAAACAAAACTTCCAATCTATACAGACAGATAAATCCATAGAGACAGCTTGATCCCTACAGAACTTAACGGAAAACCRACCAAACAGAAGTCTACATTTCAGTGAATAACAATACCTGTTGGTTATAAGTCGCAGGCCATTGTTGTCCTTGAGCTTGTGTAGCTTGCGGCCAAGACTGAGCYTGGACACCATAACCTGCAGGCCACTGGTTCTGTGCCCCCTGGTAGGCACCTACCACTGACGGAGCAGGCGAAACAGCACCTATTTTCGCGAGCTTTGCTCTGTCAGAAACTAAATAAGCCTCCATGTGTCGCTTCTTGGACTCTGAGGCACTCTTATGATGTAAAAAGAGCTTGGCATGCCGATTGTCTGCCTTCTTGATGGACTGTGTGTCCCCAAAGAGATCTAGAAACTGCAGAATAAACTGTTACGACGTCTGCATAGCACATTTTATTACTCCCTTCGTCCCAAAATAAACGTCCACAATGACAAAGGCACAGTTTTAGAAATGTGCRAGTATTGCACCTTTAAACAACTAAAAGCATCTCCACTAGTAGGAGAAATTTAACTTCTCTTCCCTACTTTCTCCATTTTGGAATTTTGGTTTTTTTTTCCTCCAAGAGATTCTCCAAAATRGAGAAAGTAGGAGAGAGAAGGAAATTTTCTCCAAATATGGAGAATTCCCGGAAAATGATTACTTATTGAGTGAGAAATAATATTTYATTATTTCCACCAATAAAAGTCATTGAAATTAAATATTTAGAAGAGAAACAATATTTTATTGAATGTATTGAATATTCTAATAATATAATTGATGTTATAATCTTTAAAATTGAGAATCTGTTGGAGATGAATGTAATATTTTTTTGAGATTTTGATCTTTGAGACTCCATTATGAAGAATATTTGGAGAATCTATTGGAGATGTTCTAAATGACAATTTTAACCTTAAAAATCGAGGTAGTAATGAATTTTTACATCTCATAATCAAGTATAGAATTGGAAAGTAGGCAAAGTGCCCACTTTATTACGGCACAAAATAAAATAAAAATGTGGACACTTATTTTGGGGCAAGGGGAGTGTTACCATAACTATATAAAGAAACCACAATATAGTTTTACCTCCAAGAAAATGCTAGATAACTCTTCTCTCTCGGCATAACTTGCAGGATTAGAATTATCGGGACCAGGAGCTATGAACTTCTCTACCAGTGAGTCTAGACGATCAATTTGTTTTGGGAGTGATTGAATTGATTCCATATGGATCAAAGCCTGCATCGCCAGAAAATAGATAGATCCAAGTGACCATACAAACAGAGAAAGAAGCAGGTGGGAAATCTGCAAGAAAGGTGGAGGAAAMGATAGAGACCTCTAAAAGTGGTTTAGAGAGTTGATTACTCTCTAGGGCTTGATCTAGGACCTCCTTTGCCTTTTCAACCCTTCGTAAAACCTGCCACATAATCATAATTAAAGAACGACCGTAGCACAAATCCATAACGATGCAAAACCAACTCCCAAATGATACATAGGGAACCTAATTAAAAAGAGATGACAACATGTTCTTATTCACACATAAAAAAACCGAAACAGAGAATGCACACAATCTGRGTATTAAGAATGCAGACCCAAACAGGCTTCAAGTCATCATCCACATTCGAACTCCACAAAACCAAGTGATAAACACGTTCAAATATAGCACAAGCAATGAGCACTACTAACACAACTGAATACTCCATAAATTTTGGATTTTCTTTTTAATCAAAAACTGCATAAAATTTTCATTCTCGGCGTATAATAATATTTGACATCTCGTTGCATTGCACRGGAAACATCTAGTAAAATGAATTGGCCTACAAAAATACACCAATGTTACCAGCCTACAACCTAGTTAAGATTTCAAAATTCACTAAAACATGCTAGTCCAGTAATTTGGTCAAAGTAGCACAAGTGTGTGTGTGTGTAAGCAATCAATCTTCAAGAATCACGATAAACCTTTGGGTAACAGAGCTCATAAGTAGAGATTTCAAGGTTCTAAATGGCGTGAGGCRTGGCAGCCTTAGGAGCCACAGCGTTTTTCAAGGCGTGAGGCGTGGCGKCAAATCTCTATATCATATATAATACTATWGGGTCASGTTCAGCGGAAACCCAAAATAAAATAAAAACTGAGGAACATCCTGGTAACTGTTCATCTAGACGGTATCTACATCTGCATACAAGTAATATGTAAGCAATTTGTCTGGTATGCATGTGTGCATAACATGCACATTTGCATAAAAACCAAGAAACGGCTTCAATTACTTGTACCGYCCAGGCGTCCAGRTTACCAGGATGTTCCTCGGTTTTTCATTTTTTGGGGGGTTTTCCACTGRACCTCCCTCTAMTATATTAAAAAGGTAAGAAAAATCAAATATCGTGTTACAAAACCCGTGATTAGGCCATGGCRGACCACAGGCTTAACGTGGCGTTAGGTACAAGCCTTGAGCAATGGTGCACCATGACRGYTGTTGCGGCAAGCCTTTTAGAATAGTGGTCGAGAACAAAAGATGGATGGTGTAAAGAAGACATACCAAGTACAAAAACCGAGAATATTGTGCGAACAAAAACGGCAAGGTTTGTGATTGTTCTTTTCCTTTCTCAATTGCAATCGTCTGCTCATACAAGGAACAAGCATCTTCCAAATTCCCCTAATTATATAAAGAGAAAACCCCATTAAAGCATGCAACAWGAATCAACATTACACACTACAATACTTGACCAAGTATAATTGGCTTACCAGCCTATGCTCCATGTTAGCATGGTTGACAATTGCTTCAAGAAGACCTGGAGAAATTTCAGTATGCACAAGCTGATAAGATGCACGAGCACCTGCAATGTCTCCACCGTGCTCTTTAAATCGGGCAGCAAATAGATGAATTTCTGGTTGCCTCTGTATACATTATCAACCGATTAGGTAACAAATTTGGATACATAATTCCCCTTTCCCATAACGAATGACAAACAGAAACAGGAGAATGGATGATGCAAGGATGATCCGCATTAACGGGCCGTTTACACAACGCTTACCGGGAATAGTCAACATTTTCACTTAACTTACTGGGTAAGATTTTAGTCCATTAAAACATCGTATGCAACATTTATCCGGTAAGCGCTTACCGGGTAAGAGTCGTCACACTCACTTACCGGGTAAGAGTCGTCACACTCACTTACCGGGTAAGACTCTCGGTCTCTGTCATCGCTCTTAACGGGTAAGATTCTCAATCCTTGTAATGTTCATCCGAATATCCGATTAAGGTAAAGTGACCCGGTAAGCACTTACAGGGTAAGCGTTCAGGTAAACGACCCCTAACTTGGCATAAGAACATGGATTTGACCAATGCTACTAACAAYGAATAACAGCAAGATTAAGATGTACCTTTACAAACACTTGGGTGGCACGAGCAAGTGCATTTTCAGCAAGATCCATACTCCCACTAGCTTCCATAGACAAAATGTAGCGAATCCAGTACTCAGGATAGTTGGCACACGCAATTAGACATCTTTCATATAACTTGACAACCTGATTCAAAAGATTAACATCATGCATCTGAAGAACGTGAYTGTGCCTTGTAGAAGAACCAAAGAAATTGCAAAATAGAGAGGGCTTAGAAGAAACACAAAAGAGATACTCCGATGGCGGAACAGGGAGGCCCCTCTAAAACGAAACGAGGGACCCTCCTTGCCTCACAGACAGATGATTAAGTAAGAACACACCTGCATACATAACATTGCAACTTTTAACAAATAGTTTACCATACAACACATGATCAACCCAGAATCTCGACTCACAAAATGAGAGTTTGAAGTACTTAGCCTTATAGCAACCAAATGGGAGACCCATGCTTTAGTCCAAGTTCAATATCCCGTTTAAAAAGATGCTTCATCCAACCAGTTTAGCCGATAAATCATATSAAGCGGCAGATATTACTTAACTGTAAGTCAATGTATAACAGGGACAACTAAACGCACAAACCAAAAATGAAAATTCAAACATCTGAAGAGTGAACATTTGATTACCTTATTGAAGTCATCGCCTCCTTCAATAAAATCAAGATAGTTATGCCAGTTTTCAAGCTCTGCAACATTAAGTGGTCGAACATGAAAGTAGGGCCTCCTGATAGCAGTTTCAAAATCAATGATCTTAGAATCGAACTCTTTAGCTTTCTTATACAGCTCTTCTCTAATGGCGATATAACTCTCCAACTCCTCAGCTTCTGTTAAGCCTGCACTTACAGGTTTAGAGGATTGCTCCACTGTATTTGGATGGACTTCCCCTTCGCTTTCTTGATTATTAACTTCCCCCTTAGCATTTGCTGCAGCTGCAACTTCCTCAGCAGTTCTCAATTCTGATAAAGGACGACTGGCTACTAATTCCCTGAAACTGTAAATAGAAGAGAATAGCGTGACCATGCATGTAAAGAGAGGTAGTACCAAAGAAAGTAAAAGTAAAATATGAATGATACCAGGTTTTTCAGCCACTAATCTTTCTGAACAAAAATGTTATCCCAGAAGCAAAAGTAGATATCAGAAAGGTATTTCTTTTAATAAACGGTATCCAATAATTATGGTTAAAACATTCCCACCTATATTGATGTCAGGATKTGGATGCTACAGCGACAAGGTGCACAAAATAATAGTGAAGAGCAAGTAGATAGTAACGATGCAACAATACACAGTTTAGAAATGACTACCATGTGATCCTACCAACACATCAGTCACAAAATCTACAGATACACTGGTTTAAACAGATCYGCAGTATTAATCTTCCATTCCAAGAGAGAGATGAGAGAAGGAAAAAGAAGAAAGACAAAGTTGAAACAAAGACCAGAGACCGGATGTGATATCATGGATGCCCTCGGATGATTCTATTTCCACCATCTATACAGCCATGAATATTTCAGCTTTAGGGTTGAACAAGAGACACCGTTTATGACATTATGGCACAACCTKGACTTCCAAGTAATATTATAATATAATATTCCTCCAAATCTTCTACAATGGACAAGTCAATAACCCTTATAACTCTGTAATCCAACATTAAAATTCACACTTATCTTTGAATGTACATTATCCTAGTAGTTTGGAATGTAATTTTATTTTTTACTAATTACTTCAAAAAGTACATKTTTAGCATAAAAATAATTTGATTATTGATAATATAAACACTTAATGTTACCCAATTGATCTTCCGATATGCTAGTTTCAACATATCTTTGACTTAAAGTGTATAWTACAATAAGCAATGACATCCTTTTTYTCTTATTCTTTTTTTARGTATGTAATATTTATATTCGGAAAATAAACTCACACMCCCTCCTCATGTTTGGTGAGGTTTGAGCCCTTGACCTCCTAGGGAACAAAGGTCCAGATACCACTAGGCCAAAGGTCCTTGTTTGGATACATGTACATATGTGCGTGTCTCTGTTGTATTTTTCCACGAGAAACTAATAAATAATGATGATATTATTTCAACATCACCTWAAAATGAATGTGATATTGTATTGTTAGGGCTTTTGTCATTGAATCCATACAGAGTGCTAATCCACACAAACAACAAAAGGTGATTTATCATGCAGACATACCATGTGCCATCGAAGCATTAGGGTGGACGTAGAATAAGCAAGCACGATTCAGCTGAATAAAGCATATAACCTGTTAAAATAGCGGTCCAACTGCTGATTGGGATGCTCCAATATCCGTGTGTATATCATGGCAAGATTGGACCATTGCTGCTGCTGATACTCGTAYTCAATATATTTATCCCATAACGGAAAAGAAAGATAATCAGTTCCAACATAAGCTAATCCTCGTTCAAATAGCCTGAAACAACATGATAACCAAACTATAACTCGTAAATCAAAAAACACAACAATAGCTACAATGCAAGATAGATGCAGCAACACCAGAGGAGAAGCAAGGACAGGTTACATAACCACATGACTCTTCACAATCTACAAACCAAACACTATTTACCTTCTGGTCATAAAGATCGTATAAAATCCAATAAAAGACAAAAGTGATAGGCCATCTTAGTTCTTAACKCCATGATATCTTCTCAGCAGCTATTTGAAAAAGGGTGCACCTCAATGGGTCATGGTATGGAACATAAAAAAAACCTAATGGAGAACTACATGGATTAAGACAAATGCCTATGGAAAGAAGCAGACAGAAGTATGGTGTTGAGACCATTAAAACATAATGCAAAGCCCTAAAATGTCATGCCACTAAAACATTTTGCACGTCGGAGAAACTCGGGCCTTGTTTGGTAACACTTGCATTTTCTGTTTTATGTTCRCACTTCTCATAACACAAATAGAGTTGTAATTTGTGATACAACAAAATGAAAACATAACTGGCAAGACAGTTTCTTTTTAAAAAWTAGAAATTGGGTTTGAAAGCTTAACCTCGTTGAAGTTAAAAAGACAATTTGTGTTCTTTTGTAACCGTGAAAACATCAAAATCAAGTTTATACTGCTTCCAAAATTCTTTTAACTGATTTTGGTTTTTTTTTAAAACATAAACATTCTGTTCAATATCACTTCTTTAGATATAAACGCAAAAACAAACCAAATAATACAGCCAAACAGCACCTCAGTTCTCCAAATGTTCTCCCTACAATTTTTTGCCAATATAGTGAGCAGTTGGYGCTGAAGAGGTATTGTATTACCATTACGGCATTACCATGTAATGAAAATCACAAAAACACAGTAGAATGAGAAAATCATGCGATGATCTCAAACGAACAAAATGATAGTTGATGAGCAAGCAGGCATTACCTCCGTACTGTGTCAGGATCTCCATAGGTGTTTATGGCAAAAACACCATAGTGCAACCACATATCTACAGAGTATGTTACTCCATGCACTGCTCGCTCATAGACTTCAACAACTTTGTCCAAAAATCCCAGGCGTGCTTCATGATCAGCATACTTCTTCCAATAACCGTAACACAAAGGAAATTCAGCTAAAAATCCATCATAAACTTTTCGGATCTTCAAAACATTTTCCTGTCAAAAGGATGAAATTTACTTAATGTGTGATGGAAAAAGAACCAACTACGATACCATTTGCAACATCCCGTTCCCGGGGGTATTGTCCTTTSCCCTTAGTACAAGTGAATGAAAGAAACTTCATATCTTAACCTTTTATTTCATTATAATATAGTTATTACAGCAGCGGAAATGTGGAAATTTACAACTTATAATATTCTAACATCTTAGAATAACAACACTTCAGCTTGTTCCTACTCCTTGATTCTTGAGATACATACATGAATACATAAGCTTTAAGCTTAGTGAGTAGTCATGGTTTTATGATAAAACATTCATTCCAAATAGTTGACATAATTCTTAGAAACTTTCATGTATAAAAACATTTCTTTGAGACTATCATAGAAGATCAAATTAGTTATGTATATCAAGAGGAGGATGTACYGCTCGACGAAGTAATTGAAAATTTAATTTTGGTACCAATAAGTATTGAAGAATACGAACGGGTTCGGGATAACGCTATCTTAAAGAAGCCAATCGACAATCGGTCAACAGGTCTAATCAWTAGAAAAGTTGACTTAAATTAAAGCTTTGATTTCTATCGAAGTTCACACTTTRAGGCTTGCACTCTGCTAGGCTCGAGGAAACAAGAAAAATGATATAAATGAAGGAGTAAAAATATTGACTCAAATTCCAAATTATAAACTTCTGCTTCATAGTATGTTGAGTGACACGAGAGTRTTAGACAAACTAAGACAACACTAGATTCAGATGGTCACCTCCGATGCAAACTTACCAAGGGACTGTCGTTAGGAGAGGTGAAGGAGGAAGAGGAAGAGGATTTTTTGTAAGTAAAATATACCAACAGAATTGGCCTTCGATATTGTGCAGATTAAGTCTAAACCCCTAGTTCTTCACCTTTTTGTGTTCTCTACTGGGTTCCACTCCATAGAGTGCATTGTTGGTTCATTGGGCCCAACTCAATTATTTGGGATTAAAGGATCATTTTCTCGGTGCCTATAACTAGTTCTACCATCCAAAGTTAATAGGCGAAAGAGATGGCTAAATATGATTCGCGCTCAATATAATACATCAACAAACTTTTGTCCTACCTCAGCTGTTTTCTCAGTTTCTTCTATTAGGGCGGTCCAGGCACTGAAATCCAACGAGTTGGCATTTACTATRCTCCATAATCGCTCTTCTTCGGGAGATAATGCAGCAACAACTGCCAAGAAAAAAACAGTCACAAGATGAAATACAATCAATCTTCTCAAAATCAGTATGAAAGTTAGGTTCAGCGAGAATCCAGAAGTATGAAAATATACCAGAACCGTCCTCCGGTTGGCTTGCAGATGCAGAATTATGAGCATCATATGAACTAACACCATTCTCACTTACGCCCACAGATGGTAAAGTTTTTGCATCACTGACATCATTTCCGTTCACAGAAGAATGATAAGCAGTAGCATTGGATGAATCTACAGACACGTTTGCAGGATTCTCACTAACATCTTGTGTGGTTGAGGATGGAGCCTCGTGACTGAAATTGACATCTACAACCTCCGATCTTCCAACTGTCCCTGGGTCGTCTGCATGAGAAATGGCATTGTCTACAACCATGGGATCATTACCAGTAGAAGCAGCCACGTCAATGGTGTCACTGGAAGTAGCAACCCCTGTACCAAGAGAAGCATTTCCACTYGGATCACCATACTCGGAGGCAGAATAGGGAACAGATGGATGCTCCTGGACAGCTGATGTTTGAGCAACAACCGTTTCGCTATCCCCCATAGTCAAGAGAAGATCAATTAACTTAGACCTGTAGATAACTACCAATGAACAACCAAGGTAACTAAATAAAGGTGAAAGCAACGCTGAAGCCATGTGATGTTTAAGGAATCCAAACAAATACAAAAGGCTGCATAAATCTTCAAAATGGACAGTGTAAGTGTACAAACCTACAAGARTGAGATACTAATCATGAAAAAATTACCCAGTTTGTTTTGTTTTGTGATACAAGTGCAAATCAAATATAGAGTTGCCACAACTTCTATAGGGTAGGCTACGTGTGTTATTTCAGAGAGTAGAATTCCAAGTTACATGAACTAGAAGTCACAGAATAGTAGAACATGAATACCATATATGTGTTTGCTAGAGTGCCTGTTACATAATTATCATAGAGAGAGTGCCTGTTACATAATTATCATAGAGAGATGGTCGGTTCACCAGCCATTAAATCTCTATCCCCTAACCTATTATCAGTTATTGATTCAAGGTGTATCTCTGTGGGTTTCCATATCTCTGTAACAATAGGCCTTAATGCAAGCCTTAAACACTACCATCTCTCTGGTAATCAGCATGCAAACCCTAAACATTACCATCTCTMTRGCAATCMGCATGCAAACCCTAAACATTACCATCTCTCTGGCAATCAGCATGCACACCCTATTTTGAGCAGGAACAACAAGATATATAAAGAATGCTAACGCTATATTTTACGCTTGGGATAAAGGCTTTCAAAGCCATCGCTCTAATTATCCTTCAGCAATTCKATTGCGATTTACAGCCCTACAAGCACACATATAGCCGCTCTGTACTATTCAATGTGCATAGTTCTATCACCAAGTAAATTATCTTCCGGTCAAATCACACATTTCAAACTCTGAAACAACAAACCGCGACGGCATAAACAAACTGCTAGACTTACTTCTGTTTCATGTTTCAAACGAATCCCAGTAAACCACAAAAGAATTGGTATTAACAACAAATAAATCCTCAACGAATAGATTCAATTACATGAGAAACTAAAGGAGCTATRGAGAATTAAATTTATGCTTTGATCGAAAACCCTAAATTTCGACATAAAAGCAAAGAGTTAGAAAATTACTCGCAGCAGTATAAGTGCAGACAACGGCGACCAGCAAATGGATACAAACTGAAACGTCGGAAGATCCTGTAAAACGTTAGACGGTGGTGAGTCGATACAACGGCGGTGACGACTGAGGTCGGTAACCGGAGAGAGATGAAAGTGACGACGAGCGGCTATCGGGTGCGTGTGTGAATTTATGCCCTAACCATTAATAGAGAAAAACATATACCGTTTCTCATCTATTTTTTTCTCCTTCCCCCTTTTTTT